AAAAAGGAGAATGCGGGGTTGTGGGCTGCAAAGGCTGAGTGAAAAATCTAACTTGTAATTTCCTGGTTCTTCTGTGGCTATAACAGTATATGCAACCTTGCATGTGTGTTAAATGGTTTTGTCTGTTACTGGTAATTTCCTTGTTTCTTTGTTTAGAATGTATGTGAGAAATGTGAAAGACAGCTGCTGTGTGCTCCCATCCTCCTTACTGGGAAGGACCGTGAGCACAGGAGGGGGATAAGTAGCAGCTCAGCAGGCATCACTCATTTATTCCTGCCGACTTTTGCATGCCAGCGAGGGTTTGCAGCTGGCCAGGTCTCAGAACATGCACTTGATTGCTCCTAAGGCAGCAGATGATTCTGGATTGCTTCTTGGGCTTTGCAAAGGACATTACCAGGCTGTTATCCTGAGCCAGGTTTGTCTGGGATCACGGATAAGAAAGCCAGAGGTGGAGCAGGCTGTAGGAGAGGGGAAATGTGTATGGTGCCTGGAGGTCTTACCAAGGAGCTTGTGCTGGTCTCCTTGGCTCTGAACAAGTCTCGTGTCGTCTTGTTGTGAAACCTCTTCTTGTGCTTACCCTTTGCCCAAAAAGCAACCGTCCCTGCTGCACTAAGAAATGAGAACAGGGGTGGAAAGCAGTACTTTACATCTTAGTTGCAATGAAAAGGTCACCTGAAAGATGCATGGCACTGAGACTTGAGTGGTGTGCTAGGGCTTGGCCATGGCTGGGTAGGCAGGCATAGCCAGGCAGCAGCAGTGCCATGATGCTTTTGGGTTAACGGTCCCTTCTGATTCCAGCAGTGCTGTGCTGCTTTCTCAGCAAGCCTCGTTTGTTGCTTGTCCTTCTCCTAAGCCTCGTCTTACTCCTCCAGGTCGACTGAAAAAACTTCTTTACTGTGAGAGGGACAGAGCCCTGGAACAGGCTGCCCAGAGAGGTTGTGGAGTCTCCTTCTCTGTAGACTTTCAAAACCCGCCTGGACACGTCCCTGTGTGATGTGCTCTGGGTGATCCTGCTCTGGCAGGAGTTTTGGACTGGATGGTCTTTGGAGGTCCCTTTCAACCCCTAAGATTCTGTGATTCTGTGACTGGCTTACCTTCTTTGCTGGCTGTGTAGGCTGTGAGCTGAGCCGACGGAAGAGCAATGTAGCTGGGGGTGTGGGGGGCCTGTCTGGGAAAGGGGAGGGAGGGAGCCTTCCCCTTGTAAAAGTTTAGAAATACTTGGGATGTCATTGAGGTGAGTGCAGAAGGAATTCAGTTTGGTGAGAGGAGAAAAGAGGTCAAAAGGAGGAGTGTTTGAAAAAGTCCTCTCTGCAAAAATTGGTTGCTGTCTTAAGTGGAAAATTCGTGTAGCTCTCTCTCAGGAGTTACTGTACTAAATTTGGAAAACAGAATTGGTCTTCAAAGTGTGAAACAAAGGGATCTCAGTCTTGCTTTAAATGCAAATCTCAATGCAGTCTGAACTGCGGACTCGCTCCTGACGCCTCCGTAGTACATATTAATCCAGTTTTATCTGTCATGAGGAGATTTGTTGATTAGAAGCCTCTAGGTAAAGGCTCATGGACTCTTCCAGCCTGTGGGCTGGAAAAATGAGCTCCGTGTCTTGCCTGCAGCTCCTGGGCTGTGTGTAATTTCACTGCCACTGTCCTTCTAGGGTTCAGTGTAGCTCTCTGCACAAAGTCTATTTATGCAGATTTTGTGCTAAGATGGATGAGTTTCAGAGTGAGCAGGTATTCTTTAAACAGTTATGTAAGTTAATTTGTGGTATTGATGGTAGACAGTCGACATCAATTGAAATGGGAGAGGAGGAACAGTGTGCTGAAATGCCACTAACCCATAAGCTGTTGGTTTTGTTTATCTTGTCAAAATTTGTATGAAATGGGAGGATTTTTCTAAGAACTTCTGTGAAGTAATGACATTTTTAAAAATACTGAATTATGTACTGTTTAAAGGATTACCTTAAGTGATTTTCCTCATTTTCCTTCTTGGTGCTCACATCTTTGAGTGTAGATAGTACTCAGTTGTTTTTCTGCAATTAACCATTATTTTTGAAAACTAAATTGTATTTCTAAATTATGTAGCTCTTAAATGTTTCCAGTCTCACCCTGAGTTTCAAAGCATGCGGTTTAACTCTTGATCTCACCAGCAGCTCCTCGGGGTGGCTGCTAAGAGCTAAATGGGTATTGCTGTCCATTCTGTTTCACAAATACCAGCATATAAAGAGTGATGTGTGCAGCTGGTGGTTTTGGTTTTTGGTTTTTTGTTTTTTTCCAGGGCTTTATTTCCTGAAGAGATTGTTTATAGGTATCCTGTTGCTGCCACCTAGATTTTTCTAAAGTTTCTGTTTGCCTCCTAATTTAATTTTTCTCTAGTAGAGTTTAATCGAAGTTTTGTAGCAGAAGCCTGATCTTTCAGAGACCTCCTGAAGTTATGTTTATTACATCTGTACATTTATTTTGAGTTGCTGAAGTGCATGTTGTAAAATAATTTCTTCAGTAGTTTTACTTTTGATTTCCAGTCTGCCAGTGCCCCTAAGCATACAAATATTCTTGCATCTGAGTTTGGGGGCAGGGGGCACACATTGAGAAAAGAGGTCAAAAGGAGGAGTGTTTGAAAAAGTCCTCTCTGCAAAAATTGGTTGCTGTCTTAAGTGGAAAATTCGTGTAGCTCTCTCTCAGGAGTTACTGTACTAAATTTGGAAAACAGAATTGGTCTTCAAAGTGTGAAACAAAGGGATCTCAGTCTTGCTTTAAATGCAAATCTCAATGCAGTCTGAACTGCGGACTCGCTCCTGACGCCTCCGTAGTACATATTAATCCAGTTTTATCTGTCATGAGGAGATTTGTTGATTAGAAGCCTCTAGGTAAAGGCTCATGGACTCTTCCAGCCTGTGGGCTGGAAAAATGAGCTCCTGCAGCTCCTGGGCTGTGTGTAATTTCACTGCCACTGTCCTTCTAGGGTTCAGTGTAGCTCTCTGCACAAAGTCTATTTATGCAGATTTTGTGCTAAGATGGATGAGTTTCAGAGTGAGCAGGTATTCTTTAAACAGTTATGTAAGTTAATTTGTGGTATTGATGGTAGACAGTCGACATCAATTGAAATGGGAGAGAAGGAACAGTGTGCTGAAATGCCACTAACCCATAAGCTGTTGGTTTTGTTTATCTTGTCAAAATTTGTATGAAATGGGAGGATTTTTCTAAGAACTTCTGTGAAGTAATGACATTTTTAAAAATACTGAATTATGTACTGTTTAAAGGATTACCTTAAGTGATTTTCCTCATTTTCCTTCTTGGTGCTCACATCTTTGAGTGTAGATAGTACTCAGTTGTTTTTCTGCAATTAACCATTATTTTTGAAAACTAAATTGTATTTCTAAATTATGTAGCTCTTAAATGTTTCCAGTCTCACCCTGAGTTTCAAAGCATGCGGTTTAACTCTTGATCTCACCAGCAGCTCCTCGGGGTGGCTGCTAAGAGCTAAATGGGTATTGCTGTCCATTCTGTTTCACAAATACCAGCATATAAAGAGTGATGTGTGCAGCTGGTGGTTTTGGTTTTTGGTTTTTTGTTTTTTTCCAGGGCTTTATTTCCTGAAGAGATTGTTTATAGGTATCCTGTTGCTGCCACCTAGATTTTTCTAAAGTTTCTGTTTGCCTCCTAATTTAATTTTTCTCTAGTAGAGTTTAATCGAAGTTTTGTAGCAGAAGCCTGATCTTTCAGAGACCTCCTGAAGTTATGTTTATTACATCTGTACATTTATTTTGAGTTGCTGAAGTGCATGTTGTAAAATAATTTCTTCAGTAGTTTTACTTTTGATTTCCAGTCTGCCAGTGCCCCTAAGCATACAAATATTCTTGCATCTGAGTTTGGGGGCAGGGGGCACACATTATTAAAATAATTTCCCCCGAGTGTGTGCAAATCATTCTGTAAGTTCTGATTTTTGCAGTGTTTTTTTCCAAGTGCATAGTAGAGTCACAGCAATGGTAGCAGAGCAGCTCCATGTTTTAGTTCTGTTACTTTTCCCAACCAACTATAAATTACAAGCTTTAGATCTTATTGATTGGTGGTTTAGCTTAATACAGTAATTCTGGAAATTACACGCTTGTAGTTGTGAAAGCCATGGTAGAGTGACGAGGTGTGTGTGAGATCTTAGAATTCTCTGGAGAGTTTATTTCTTGTGGGATAACTGGATAACAGGTTTTATGAAGTTGAAACCTGTGCAAACGTTTTTTCTGCAGACTTGAGGATAGAACACTGCTGCAGTTTGTCTTGGAGTGCCATTGCTGTAGTACAGGATGGTATTTCATGTTGTAAGTGTCACTGACGTGCAGGCCTGTTAGCCAGTGGGATGGGCAGGTGAATTCACAATAACATAAACTGTATCCCTTGGAATCAGTCAGTATATTTGCTTCTGTCTGCAGATGTTGCTACCATAATTAGAATCAGCAGACGTCTTAGATCCTTTTTACATGAAATGTGGAAAACTCTAGAACTACTTAGTTCCAAAATACCCTTTTACTGATCCTGCTTCATTAATCCCCTGGAGTTCTGTGAAGCACTTTTCTGCCTTCCTTTCCTTTTACAGTCCTCCACAGTGCTGTGGGGTGAAATGATTTGAGAATTAAGTAGAATCAATTGAGCTTTTTCTTTTTCTTTAGGGGATCGAGTATTCAGTAATTCTGAGTGTTTTGTGATCATTTTGATATAAAAGAGAGTCAAGTAGAAGCAGTGAGCAATATTGAATGACATTGTTGGGAACAAACATGAAGTGGGAATGCTGAAAACAAGCTGGCTTCATGTTTGAATCATCTTTATTGTAGGTGCATCACAACTATCTGCTGATATTTTTTTTCGCAAATGTTTGCATTAAGTTTGCTAGTCAAAAATAGAGCTATGGCCCCTTTTTTAGTTTCCCTAAGTATTCTTATAATGAGAGAGAGAAAAATCTGTCCTCTTGAGTTTACAGCCTTACGGCAGGAGGGACAGTGGGAGGAATGAGTCTGGATGTTGGCATTTTGGTGCTCATCTCTCTGTTTTTGCTGTTTGCAGGTTCTGTCATCCGTGATGGCATCAGCTCTACCCAGAACCCTTGGGGAATTGCAGCTGTATCGAATACTACAAAAAGCAAATCTGTTATTCTACTTTGATGCCTTCATTCAGCAGGGTGGTGATGATGTCCAGCAGCTTTGTGAAGCAGGTGAAGAAGAGTTTTTGGAGATAATGGCTCTTGTAGGCATGGCTAGCAAGCCGCTTCATGTCCGAAGGCTGCAGAAGGCCTTGAGGGACTGGGTCACAAACCCTGGTCTTTTTAACCAGCCTCTCACCTCCTTACCAGTCAGCAGCATTCCAATATATAAGCTGCCGGAAGGGTCTCCAGCATGGCTGGGGATATCCTGCAGCAGTTATGAAAGGAACAGCAGCACCCGAGAGCCTCACCTGAAGATTCCAAAATGTGCTGCCACGACGTGTGTGCAAAGTGTGGGTGCAAGCAAATCCGACGTGGGGAGCTTATCGCTGCAGAGCGGCAGTGAGCCGAGGCTCTGGCAAGGACACCACACCACAGAGAGTGAACACAGTCTTTCCCCAGCTGACCTTGGCTCTCCAGCTTCACCAAAGGAAAACAGTGAGACCCTGGATGCCGCCGCTGCTCTGTCAGTCGCTGAATGCGTAGAACGTATGGTTCCCTCCCTGCCCAAAAGTGACTTGAACGAAGTCAAGGAGTTACTGAAAACAAATAAGAAACTGGCAAAGATGATTGGTCACATCTTTGAGATGAGTGACGAGGACCCTCACAAAGAGGAGGAGATCAGGAAGTACAGTGCAATATATGGCAGATTTGACTCAAAAAGAAAGGATGGCAAGCATCTCACCCTCCACGAGGTAAAACACCTTGAGCAACAGTGGCTTCCTCCCCTATTCCTACCCCCTTTATGAGGTGCTGTTCACAGGGCTCTTGTACAGGCTCTTCTCACCACACGATTAGAGTTATGTGTCTTAAAGGAGCTATAGACAATCCTGCCCTGGGGTAGAAATCTCGGGTGCAGTAGGAGTACCCTTGGATGGGTGTGTGCACTGATGACTTCAGCTTGGTGTCATCAGGTTGCTCGGTCACTGGCGTGGCCTGTCAGACAGAGGGTTTAAAGAGTTTGTCGCTGAAATAGCAAACCAGTATTGTGCTGAGCATGGCCCTTGGGGTTCTAGGCATTCAGCACATTTTTTAAGTAGTCCTGTCTTGACACTCCCTCGCAGCTTTGGGAGTAGACTGGTTGGTTGGAAAATAAGTAAATAAAATTGCTTGTGTCTAGTAACAGGATCACCTGGTGTGGTTACTACCCTCTGCTATCTTCCTTCACCTTGAGGCTCATCTGTAGCTTGCGCCCTCAAGGGAAAAAGGATTCTGCTGGTGAGGTCCCTAAACCCTTTGGGGTGGGATTCTTTTTGTGATTTGAATTGGGATGAAGCTTAATTATACAACCTGTGGGGTTTTTTGGGCTCAGTGGTCTTGAGCAGGTCAAGTGAAGTGTAGGCTGCCTGAGGAGGATGGGAAATGACCTCTCCGGTACTGATGGGTGGCTGCAATTTGAAGGTTTGTCCTTTAATACCTGTGTAGCATCTGTTGCCTCTTGTCCTTAAAAGTCCGTGTGGACCTCCTGTGCCTTTCTTCTGGCATTCTTGAGGCTCACACGGCATGTGTTGTAACCCAATAGGTGTGTCTGTGTGGGGAATAGTTTCCTAGTTCCAAAGCAGAGTACAAGAGGAGAACAAACATTAATTGAAAGCAGTGCCAAAACGCTGTTGATCTGAATGCTGCATCAGCATTTTCACAGCTAACAGTGATTGCAAAATTTCAGTTGGATTTAAAATCTGGCATGTAAAGCTCAGCTCCCAAAAGGAAAGGCAATGTTTATGTTACAGGAGTGCCAAAAAACTGTACTGGCTTTAGCCTTTTTTCGCTTCAAGAAGTTTTGTAGGTGTGTGATCCATAGCATAAGACTAGGTTGTCTTTATGCTTCTGAGTAGAAGGGCAGAAGGCAACAAGGTGTGTTTTTTTACATTTTTGTTTATGTATTTCCATTTATAAGGCAATCGCACAACACCAGCATTAACTTCACTAGGGCTTTTACTATGGACTGGGTAGATGCTTCCAAGGGAACTTGTCAGTAGTGTGCATTTTACCACACGGGTTTAGTCGTGCAGCTGTCACTTAGGTGCTTTGTGGCTTTATGATGAGCACGTATAATCTATGAATTCATCTAGTATGCAAGAGCAAATCTCGCCTTACTTCTCTGACCTTGTGGAAGTCTCTCCCAGAACAGAACAAGTTGCTTACAAGATGGAGGCAGGATTTGAAAGGATTGTCTACCTTGCTGCAGAGTCAGGATTCAGAGAAAGGGAATTCTCCCCACCTGAGGATGGAGGCAGTCACAGTGTACAAAGTGTGTAGCTGTGTGCTTTTGCAGTCTCTCCCTGGGTTAGAGGCTGCAGAAGATACACCTAAATCTGGGCAGACATCTCGAAGAATAATTACTTGTCATCCAGCGGCATAACAGGAGGTGAACATTTGGAGCAGCTTTTGTGGTAGGCTCAGGAGTGGCCCTGTGAAGCTGGAGAAGTGAATACTTGGGGTGGTGCTCTGAAGGAGCAGGGGTAGCGAGGAACTGGAGGAAGGGATGACTGTTCTGCCCCGTTGTTCTTTATTTTTATTTTATTTTTTAGTACTGCACTACAGATCTTTACTACATCCTTGTAAAACCATGTTTAAAAATGGAATGAGAGCATGGTTTGGCTTTAGGAAATATTTCTATCGCTCTTATGTTTAAGGGCACAAGATCAAAGGAGTATGTGGTTGACTTATGCCTTACGCATGTGGGGCCTTGCTGAACTTGATGGGAACTGCATACATACAAGCAAGAAGAATTCGCTCATAACTGGTTTACTGTTTGCTTAAAGAGGCTGGATTTCACAAAGTTTTGTCCTGAGCACTTTTTTCTCCATTTCCATTTTAAAGCAGAAAATACACAAATAGCAGCAATGAGACATTTTTCTTTTGTTTAAAATCTTCTAAACCAGAGGTTGCCTCATGTAAACTTCCCTTCATTGGATTTTTGGTTTTGATGGCTTAAATCATGTGCTGCTCAGAGGGAAGGACCTTAAACAACCGGGGAGGTAAGTTTCTGCTTGTCCAGAGACTGTGTTCCTGCACATGTTAATACATCCCAAGGCTGTCATTCTGTCTCACAGTTAAAGGTTTCTCATTGCAGCTGGCAACGAACAGCTGAGTAAACGTTACTGAGAACTTAAAAAGCTCAAGTAGAGGTTAGCTTCTTAATGTAGAGATCCAGGGTATCTCTGACTCATCAAGCCGAGTGGAGTTGCATGCAAATTTAACTCAAACTTGATGAAATTATTAGTGGCAAATTACTGAGAATGTTTTCTGTTTCAGTATGAACAGTAGTATGAACACTGGAGTGCCTCAGCAGGCTTGAGAAGCCTTCAGAGGCCAGTGGGAGCTGTAGAAGCTGAGCTGGTTTGGAAGTGTGTGCTGTTGGTTGGATTATCTGCATAAGGTATAGATCTAGCATAAGGTCAGATGCAGAATCTTTTAAAGAGATTCCAAAACTAATACACTTATTTGCCATAGTCAATCTATTGTCTTGGTATTGCACAGCTTTTCAAGCATGCAAAGAGCTTCATGTTTAAAGTTGGACTGGAGGGGGGATGTCCTTGAACTTGGTGGCCTGTACATGTTTGAGTCAGATTTGTAATTTGGGTGTTAATATTTTGGTGCTTCTTTAGGTACCTATAAAACTGAAAAAAATCCTGTTCAATAGTGTGAGAAACAGGAACAAGAAATGTTAAGTACTAAACTTTGTCTAGCTCAGTCTCTTCTTTTGCTGACTCGCCAGAACCTTAGGGCTTGGTATTTAATTATGTGTTTTTAGTGGGGAAATCTATAAACCCCATCAGATGGGAATATACCCATCTCTTTCTGTAGCGCCTGTATGGTTATATGCAGCTCTATATCATTAAGGCTTTCAGAAAACAAGTCTTTATTTTTAGGCATGCAACACTTTCTATCTGCAGTGTTATGCCTCCTGAAAAGGCAGGAAGCCATGATGCACTTCATTAAGTCTGGATGTGACCTGAAAGAAGAAACCAGGAAAAACAAATATTTGCCTTTTCTCATGTATTAGGATGAACAGCATTTGCCTACAACTACCCAAAGCATTTTCAGTCATTTCAGCTCTTTGCAACACTTCAACACTTCATGGAGGGAAAAGAAACATCTCAAATGATTTTGTAAGCATTAGCCATATTATTCATCCTCCGCAAAGTAACAGCTGTCACTGTTAAATTAATGCCTACTTTGGATGGTAATTGTTTTCATAGATGTTGTATTCATCTTTTGGTTTTGTATCTTTTTTTCCCCGTGTTTTTTTCTGAAAAGATAGACATTGTAGAGCAACTGTTTCTGTCTAAGGGATAATAATTTGTTATTTTAGTACATTGTATTGCAACCTGAAGATGTTTTACTGGTTAAACTTAAAACTTCCCACCCTTGTAAATCTGACCTCCATGAGATTTTTTTTCTTTTTCTGTACAGAGACTAAAAGACCAGCAGCATATCTAGTTTGCCTGTTGAAGACATGTTTGCACTCTGATTAGCATTCAGGTGTTGCAGGGAATGCCCTACTCAGATCAAAGGCTTTTATGCTAAACTCAGGAACAAGTGCTTAATGAGATATTTGGAATAGCAGCTCAGTGTGAGGTTTTACTAGAAGTACTCCATGGGCACAGGCTGCTGAGAGGGTCTCAGCTCTTCTGATGTGTTTTTTTGTCTCTTCAGCCTCCCTGGAGAACAAGTGTTGCATTAGGCAAAATTTATTTTTTCTAATTTGGCTGACATCAAGCAGGGTGGTGAAGGACAGTATGGTTGGGTGGTGTTCATGTCAAAAGACAGTTTCCATCCTGCAGGGATGGAGCATGCAGTGTTTGGGGTGAGTTGCTGCCCTCTGTGGCTTAATCCACAAGTCATGTTCTGCATCGTGGTAGGCAGCAGGGTAAAGGAGCAAGTTTCTTATCCCTCTCCCAGGAGACACCATTTAACTGCAGACCTGCTGGTCTGCCCTCAGATTCACCTTCTGTCTGCTTCCATGAGAAGTGCTTCTTGTATGAGCAGTGTTCTTGGAATCTGAGGTCACACATGTGTGGTCCTGCCTGTCCTCAGCCACCTAACCCTGTGTGCTGCACTGTGGCTGTTCTTTGCACAGCCAGATCAGGGGTCAGGGATGGCACATCTCAGTCCATCACTAATGTACTGACTGTGCTGTGGAAAACCTAGCTGCTTTGTGATATTCACTAGCCTGAGACATACAGAACGTACTGTTGACAGTAGCCACAGAGCAGCTGTGCTCGTCTGCAAAAAGCCAAGCCTGTTCAAAGCAGCTTATTTCCTAGAAATGAGTTGTGGGCACTTTGGAAAGAAAACACCTGTAGTATTCTGTTGGCCTCTTGGCTGTTGCACCTCATTACCAGCGCTGGCTGTTGTTCTTCAGCTGAGGAAGAAGGGCAAGGGTCTCTTCAGCCACTGCTTGCTGTGGAAGGAGCAGGGAATCTCCTCTCCAGCACCTCAGTTTCAGTGTCTGTTGTTAATTATAATAATTTTGTTGTTTGTCTGTGCTGTTGATCACAGGCTTTTCAGGCAGCAGTGTTGTTAAGCTGGCATCATTCACGACAGTATCACTGCTTCCCGTGGGCTTGCTGAAGACCTTTGTGAAACATTTTGAGCCTTAACTTAAGGCTTCTTTCCCCCACCCTTATGAAACTATTACCAGCAGCAGAGGCCCTAGATAATGCGTCCCGGCGGGCTGGGGAAAACATCCCTGAAACAAGTTACATTTAATTCATGTCTGAAGATAGCCTTCACAAACACGAGGGTGAGAACACAAAGCTAAAAACAGTGTAATCGTTTCTTAAACCATCATCTTCCACAGAATTTGTGCTGTAGTCACCAGGGAAAGCCATCTGTACCCACTCTGTCAGGGTTTGGTGTTGTGTTGTGTTTTTTTTCCCCAAGTCCTGGGCATATTGCGTTTATAAAAATAGTATTCCCTGTAAAACAGGCTTTGGGAGCCAAACACTGTGAACATTCAGAGCTACTGTTTTATACTGAGATTTAATGCTGGGATGAGGCACAAGCAGCACACATTGAGAGAGTCTTACAATCATGTATTACTTTAAAGGACATTAAGTGCACCAACTACATCGATCTCTTTTTTTTCCTCCCAGAAGCTAAACTGGCTTAGTAAGGGTATAAATAAATGGAATAAACCCTCTGAGATCTAGTATACGATTCTAGACAGTTTTACTTGCAATTGAATTTTTTTATTATTGCAGAAGGATAGGTACTTTTACAAGTATGCAAAATCATGAACCCCTGTTCTTGTGTTTGATTTCCAGCTAACAGTTAACGAAGCAGCCGCTCAGCTGTGTGTAAAAGATAACGCCTTGTTGACCAGAAGAGACGAACTCTTCGCGCTAGCTCGGCAAATCTCTCGAGAAGTTACATACAAGTATACTTACAGGACCACCAAGTAAGGTTTTAATTCACTCAGAGGACCTTTAATTTCAGGGAACTAATCAGCCTGATAGCATTTCTTTTGAAGCACTAGGGACGCTTTCTTCTTGCTCTTTAGTTAGCAAAGTGCTCTTCTGAGGAGGATAGGAAGATGTTGTTTAAGTTGCGTAAGTTGAAAGCTGCTGATATTCAGCTGTCCTGAATTACCTTTTTATTTGCTCTCTAGTTTCCCAGATTTTGTGGTGATAGTACATGTTGAGAGCAATCTGAGAGGCTGGCATTTAGAGTATTTGAGGTGTTTGTGGATTTCAAAGTTAATGTAAATAGGCAGAGTAACCAGAGCTCCTTAATATATTGATTATTTTTTCCCATGTACAGATTTGGCTTGTTAGTTTCCAGGGAATGAAAAAGATACTGTCATGGGGAATGGCTTACAAACTTGGTTTAAAGCAGTTGAAGCTCAGTCCTAGTTTCAGTTGTTACTAATCTGTTAAATGAACTGCTGTTACAAAACAGTAACAAAGCCTTAACAGCTTTTACATACAATTAAAACTGTAGAATTAACAAATATGATTTAAAATCTCAATACTTTCTGTATATTGTTATAAAATGTTAACTCGCTCATGTATCCTTTCAAAATACATTTTCCTATACTTCTAGGAACCTTTTATTATTTCCTTTGCCCTTTTTCTTCATAGTGGGTAGTGTAAATATACATCCATTCTGGGTAAGCAATACCAAAAGCATTTCTGTCATTCTCTGTGCTCAGGTAGCTTTCCTTTCTGTTTGGAAGTATAGTACATGGATCTCTTGAGACTTTGGAAGAGAACACAAGGTGCTTGTATTCCTCGATACTTAAGTGACATTTACTGCTGTGTCCCAAGTGAATTGGAGGCTTTTTTTGTGTATCTCACTTGTTCTTGCCTGATTTTTTGTCTTGACTCTATTTTCATTATTATTTCTGATGGTCAGGGTTACTGTGCTATTTACTGACAGTGCATATGTCTTTTATTTTAGATCTAAATGTGGTGAAAGGGATGAGCTGTCACCAAAGAGAATCAAGATAGAGGTACAGTGTTATGACTCCTGCATTTTGACCTATGCATGCTAATTTTCACTTGTTTTGAAGGGATCTGTCTCAAGGAAATTTGTCAGAAAAACATTTGACAGTTGATGGGTGTGAGGGAGGGAGAGAACATCACCACTGTCTCTGCAAATGTAAAAGCTTAATGGAGAAACCTGTAGGAGCAGGGGTTAAGAGTAGGGTTTGCTTAATGGTGAAGTTACTCTCAGTGTTTTGCACTCTGAGTAAGTAGGAGGGGGAGGAATGGGACTGACTGACTTCCTGTGGTGGAATAAGCTTGAGCGCTATAGGAAATGTCTTCCTGTAAGTTTTTAAGTCGGTGTGAGGTAGGGTTTTCTTAATTTGCTTGAGTCAACTTTTGATCATTGTCCAGAATCCAGACTTCTGGGTAAGGATTGGTGGTGCAATACTAGTCATCTCTGTGCCTTAATTATAGAATTAATTGTACTGAAAAGTAAAAAACTAACTAAAAGCTATATATGTCAACACAAATGGTTGTGCCAGTAGATATTAATTTAGGGGGTTTTGTGATTAGCTTTGTGTAAAAAGCGTGCGTATACACGGCTAATGTGTATACCTGCAACAGAAGTTGCTTAGGGAGATGCTGGGAGTTTCTTATTTGGAGTGCAGGAGTAACGTGTATGTAGCTTACCTTTTTCTTCAGCTACCACTGCTGGAGCGTAATTTGAGGCCTTTTAAAAAATCACTTTAAACATTTACAGATAGCAAGTATGTATATTTCTATACCTCATAAGAATAGATATCTTTCTTTTTAGTCTATTTTTAAAATGAATTACCATTTCACTGTTACCCAGGTATCTAATTCATCCTTAGTGTTGTGGGTTTTCTTACCATCCTGTCCACTCCAAAAGGTGTAGGTTAAATGCACATGATCTGAGCTAGGTTTGTATGTGGCACAGATAGGCGATGTTTTCTTAAACCGTAGAGGAAAGTTGCAGCATATTGTGAATTGTGCTTCTTATATGGAACTCAGTCTGTGGTAAATGAGAAACCAAATGCAGGGCTTTCATTTTTTTCAGTAGTGCAGTGCTTTGTTAGTTGTATAAGGACTTTTCCTGTGAGGAGAGTGATCCCTGTTGAGATCAGTTAGTTTTGAAAAGGCAGTTATTAATATGTATAGAGGAGTTAATCTTATTTATTAAGTTCCCTCAGTCTGTGTTCAGTTGTAGTTTGAGTTTATATAATACAAAATATACATGTACATTGAGTATTTACGGTTAGCTTTGATGATAAGTCAGTAATGTCATTTAGATGTGTTGGAATTTGCTTTGACCTATGCTTGTTCCTCAGTCCAGAAAAAGAGTGTAGAAAAGCTGCATGAAATTATTTTACTGACCTTCACCATTATCTGCCTGACCAACATCTTGCAGAGTGGTTAAGTCTTTCCCACTTTTTTCCAGTCTAGTCCTAATTTGTAAGAGCTTTGCTTGAAGTAGTATTTCACTATTAGATTGCAGCATAAGGAAGTTTTTCCTTCATTCATTAGTAATTGATGATGAGCAAGTATCTAAAATGACATGCTGGAAGGGAGGTGGTTTTTTGCACAGAGTCTTCATTGAGAGAAAAAGCAAAATTAAAATCCTGAAAAATACAAGCTGAAGCTTCAGGTTTTTTGGAGAGCAGGCGATTGAACAGGCTTAAGAGATGGGCATTCTCTTATTTTCTGAAATCTTAAAGAGTCTGGCAGGTCTGCTTTCTCTAGCTCAGTAATTCTGAGAAATGTCTACTTGGTTTTCTTTTTATCTGAAATTACCAGTCATATTTTAAAATGCTTGTGAAAAGTTAATGTCATGACTGCACAAAATACTGTTTCAGAAGTAGGACTTTATTCGCAGATAAGAAATTTAAAATGAAATAATTTTTTGTTTGGTAGTATGGCATTCATAATTATGAAATTACCAGTGTTCTTATCAGTGTAAATTGGTCTTTTTCCTTACAAGTTTGGTGGTCTTCTAAGGAGTAAACCATTACTTCAGTGTATTACAATTTGGAGTTGCACTGCAATCATGCACTGTAATCATGGACTTTTCTTCAACAAAGTTTAAAAAAGATGCAGTATGCACCACTGTATGTGGTGTTTCAGGTTCCTGGACTTGCATTTTTTGGGAAAAAAAAAAGGAACTTTTTTTTTTTTTTAGTAACATGTTTGGGAATTTTGGGAGGGGGTTTATTTTAAGAAAGATAGGGGTAAAAATAGTAGCAAATGCTGTAGATTTTTTCTTTTCTGGATAGATGTTCCTTATCCTGTTTTTAAAGTTAGCTGGCTGTTACGCTAGTATGCAGAGCATCTGAACATGGTGATTTTGGTTTTGTAACTGTCTCTAGCTTTTTTCATTTTTTAATATTTCTTTTTGTAAAGGTCACTTGGCCTTTCTGTTTTAAGGCTGAACTCTGTATTTTGATTCAGCAGCCTCTTACCCATTAGTTATTAATGTCTTTGCAAATTGTGGTCTAAAATACTAGTGTTTGAATATGGACTTTACACCCTGTTTGATTAATGTGAAAGATTACTTTAAAAAAAAGGATAATTTCCTGAAATGTTTAAACACTTAAAAAAAACCTCTAGAGAGACTCTGAAGGTCATCCTAGAGCAGAGCTGTGCGTGAAAGCTGCAGCGTTGCTGGGTTAGAGCCACCATTGTGAATTTACCCTCTTCATGAATATGAGACTCACACAAGCATTACAAAGAAACAGTATGCCATGAATTACATCAAATTACCTGTAAAAGCCTTTCTCCCCCTGCGAGCTCTCCCCCTCTTATTCGTAGAGTGGGTGGGCAAGATGTGGGAGTGAAGTGTAGGGAGGAGAAGGGAAAAGAATTCCAGGCATATGACAGACTGAAGGTGTGGAGGGAGTGAAAAAGGGAATTGAGTGAATTTGGATTTAGAAGCAAATTATTAAAAAAGAGGTTGTGGATCCTATGTCTGTTCTGGACCAGCAAATAAGGATGGAAATGGTGCATCCTCTTGCAGAGCAAGGATCTCTCCTGCATGGGTGTTGTGGGGTGGGGGCACCCCTTATTTTTGTCATGTTCTGTGACTCAGTGCCGGCATTGCTCAAAGCAATGAGCTGTTGTGGCAGCAGCTCAGAGAGCAGAACAAGCCTCAGGTATATCAGACAGAAGGCACGGAGGGAGAGGCTGTTCATCCCTTTGGGGCTGGCAAGGTTTCCCTCAGAGTCGGTGCAAACAGATAAGAGAGCAAAGAAAGAGAGTTGAAAAAATACTCTTGGCATCTGTTGCATAAAGGAATCGTTCTGTGTGTCAGTGTCTGTGCTCAGCTGAACACGAGGGGTGGGGAGAGCTTGGAAAAGCTGGTTTCATGGAGCTCTGTGGGAGTCAGGGGGCACAGACAGGGAGACCTGAGCGGAGGCTGTGAGGAAGCATCTTCCCTCAGAGGAGAGGAGAGGCTCACCTCCAGGGTTGCTGGGGAGGCTGGAAAGAAAAACGAGTCGAGCAGTGGGACTTTTGCTGTTCACAAAAACAGCAAAAGCGGTAGAAGCTACTGTTTGCATAGGGAAAATGTCATTAGAGGGAGCAGAAAAGCACATGTGGGACTGACAACATCTGCTGCACGAAGCTGCTTGAAAAACAACTGAGCAGTAGCATGGCAAAACAAAAACTGCTGTGCTGCATGCAGCAGCCCCTCCAGACTGCAGGGGGAACAGGAACCACCAGCAAGCAGAGCAGGTTGTTTCCTGGTCCAGCCCACTCATTGTCAGCCCTTACTGATGGGATGGTGGGGAGAGAACAGACAGTGGTAGGGAAGGGCTTCAGGAAGGTGATCCAGAAACGAATCAGCATCCAAGAGTTGTCTGATTGATGGGTGAGAGTCATGGCAATGGGCAGCTGGGCTGGCTGTTAGGAAACAGCCTTTGGTTTTTTATATTGGCAAGTGTTCACAGAGGGGTTACAAAGAGCCGTGTTACCTGTTTTGTTGCAAAAATAGGATCCTGAGTGATAGGCTTTTGTGTGTGCAGTTTTTCATCTTCTTAATGTAATCATTCTCTCCCAAACAAATTGAAGTCTAGCTATGAAAATGGTCAGTGCTCATGGAAATGAGCTGCAAAGCCTTTGTTTCTAGAGGATGAGGTTTTGTGGCAATTGAGTTGGTTAAGAAATTTTGCATACCTATCATGTTTATTTTTTCCCTAAGGGAATACGTTGGGTGGATAAAAGCAATATGCAATGTTCAGACAGTTTTATTGTTTTTTTCCCTGAGCACAAAGAACATCTTTATTTGTGTTACATTGCACTGAGGGCCTGACCACTGCCGTGCAGGTCAGTGGGTGCCTGCCAGTGGCACCAACCCTGTCATCCTTCCCCTGTGTTTCTTCTGAAAGATGGCTTTTCTTCTTGGGTTGTAACCCATTTGTTTAGCTATTGTAAAAAATGTTATTACTTACATGCACGTACCTCCAGAATCCTCAAGGAAAAGATATCTATTTTAGCCTGCTTTTGATACCTGGGCCTATAGATCCTCAGTGACAGAGGTCACTGTTCCCAGGTTTGGGTCTCTCTCAAGATCTCTTGCTTCTTCTCACATTTTAAGTCACCTGTATCATGCTTTTGTAAACATTACTGGATGTTCCTCTATTTTACATGAGCTTTCCTTTTATAATGCTGAGCAGGATAAATTTCTCATCTTGAACCTTTGCTTCGATGATTAATTTATTTTAATGGAGTCTGGCAGGTTTTCACAGGAACTTTATTTGCTTTATTGGTACATATGCAAGATGCATAAGAGATTTGCATGTCAAACCATTTGAGACTGAAAGAAGCCTTTGCTAGCCTGCTTTTAAAATGGTGATACTCCACTTTGTGATACCAGTATAGGTTCTGTGTGAAATACTTTGAATTTTTGGAGGCTTCACTCAGTTTCTCAAGGTTAGTGTAACCAGGGACTTTAGTCTTGACTACGTATAAACTTGATTCCTTAAGAATCAACAAAGCTGCTATATATAATGAGTGACAGAAACCATAGTCCTAAATCTGCCTGGCGAGGCTGAATGTAAACTAGTTTAATGTCAGTGACAACAGTAGTCTGGATTCACCTGAAACTGTGAGATATGAGATATGATTGTCTATGTATGCCATTTTAGATATGTGGCAGTTGTAGAGGGGTGGGGTGTGTTTTATACACAAACTTAGATGAAGTGGATGCGTGAACATGTAAATTCCAGTCCAGAGTTTTCAAAGAATTTAAGGAATGTGTTTTGGGTTTTGGCAGTTTTTGGGGTTTGTTTTTGTGTTGTGTTTTTTTTTTCTTTGAGTATATGGAGAGGATGAATAAAAATCAATAATGTGTCCCTCTTGGTGTTTGGTTTCTTCTTATGCTCAATAGGATGGTTATCCTGATTTCCAGGACACGGTCCAGACGCTCTATCAGCAGGACAAAATGCCTCCTGCTTTAGCTAAAGGAAAGA